TATAATCCCAGCACTTGGGAAGGCAGAGGCAGGGGGATCTCTGAGTTCGAGGTCAGCCTGATCTACAAAATGAGTCCGGGATAGCCAAGGCTACACAGAGAAACCCTGTGTCAACATCTCCCTCCCCCCAAAAAAAAGTTTCACTTGTAAGGTAACACACATTATAGAGCTGGACATAGTGGTGCACACCTGTAATCCCACCAGGGAGTCAGAGGTGGGTGGATCTTTGTGAGGATCTTTGTTTGAGGTCATCCTGGTCTACAAAGTGAGTTCAGGACAGGCAAGGCTACACAGAAAAACCATGTCTCAAAAAACAAAGCCAAACAAAACAAAAATAACTACTTAGAAGTTTGGCCTCCCTGAATCATAGTCCTGCCATTTACTCTGAGTACCTCATTATATGAAGCCTTCTAAATTTTTAAATTGGGTAATAACTTTATTACAGAATTGAGAGCATTTCATTGCAATCCTGTTATCCTTGAAGGATACCTTTTAAGACCCCCAGCAGATGCCTTAAATTGTAGGTAGTGCTGTTCAATGGATAGTGGCTAGTATACAACCTGTCTACATAATTCATGCCCTGATACCTCCTTTGCATCACCAATTTTATACTTTAGGGCCATTTATTGAGAGGTTACTCAACACAAATGGGTACAAGATGAGTTCCAGACTAGTGAGGGCTACATATTCAGTCTCTGTGTCAGCCCCTTGCCCAACATCAAGTGTTTATCATTATAAGTAGCTATAATGATGCCTCAGAAGAACTAGTTTAGAACAGGTATTTGATAAATTTTAAGTTTGATGTTTCTCTGAATCGGGTATCTTGACAACCAAGGTGGCTGTTAAGTAACAAACAGGTAGCATATGTAGTGTAGATCAACATAGTAAACAAGGATTCCAATTATACTCTATTCTGAATAATATGATGAAATATCGTGCCATCTGGGAGGTGAGTCATTCCTTTGTCCAAGAATCAGGATGTTGGTTGGTATTTTAATAATATTATTTCATGTGTTTACTTCTAGCCCAAGTAAGAAGACTGTTTATTACATTCATTAAACCATATATCCTGTGGTGTATGTGTGTGTTAAATATGGTGTGAACAGCTATTTGATAAGCTTGAATATTTTTTTAAAAATGTGGTTGGAGAAAGAAAAACAATGAAGAAGTAGAAATTCTTGGATCAGTTTCTACAATTAGCTCAAACTTTGAGTCTCCAAAAAATATCTAAAAATCTGCACTTTGTAGTTTATAGTTCTTGCAATAGAGTATCAAAGAGTGGCTTACAAGGGTTTTTTTTAAAGAAAATTTAACTAGGGAGAGAATATGAATAAATATGGTTTATGAGTGCAGGTACATGTGCATTTGAGCTTTGGGGTCACAGGAGAACTTAAGGTAGCCTCCTCTATCACTTGCTGCCTTATTCTTTTGAGATAGGGTCTCTTGTTGAGCCAGGAGCTAGGCTGGTGACCAGCAAGCACCATCTCTTCTATCTCCACTTTATTCATGTATGTGTATGTGAGCACACATGTGTGTAGTTGCCCATAGAGTCCAGAAGAGGGTGTCGGGTCCCTGAAATTGGAATTACATGTTGTGAGCCATCCTACTTGAGTACTGAGAATCAAATTCAGGTCCTCTGGAAGAGCAGCAAGTGCTCTTAACTTGTGAACTATCTCTCTAGGCACACTGTTGTAATATTTATGAGTAGTGAACTATATAATGTTTATTATTAGCCCAATAATTATTGCAGGGGTATTATTTGACCCGCTATCTAAAAGTAATAAGACTCAGTCAACTGTTAGATTTTATAATTGCCTTATTACCTTGGGCCAGGCAGATATTTTTACCTACTTTATCTCAATAACCTCACCATCCATCTCCCAGCCCTCATCCAATGCCATCCACCTATATGGGCTACCTTCCATTCATAATCCCAAGGTACATGCTTGTATTCTTCATCTGGGCCTTTTCTCGCCATTGTTGGAGTCCGTCCTCCCAGCCCTCATGGTTTTTTTCTCCATGTTAACCCTTCCTGGCATCCTTCCTCCTCTCTTCCAGGTCTCCTGTCCTCTAAAGCCTGGGAACCTTAGCCATGCCCACCCCATACTGCCCTGCCCAGGTCTAGGCCTTTAATCAACCAACCAGGTATAATGTTTTAGGCAGTTTTACAAAACAAGAATAGGTATATCAGGGCAGTAACCAGATCTTGAGGGCCTATAATTAGCATCAAAATAAAGCATCCGAGCAACCCCCAACAACACAACCTCAAAGCTTTTTAATTGATGTAATTCAATTTCTATTTTTGTTTTTGAGTCCTGAATTGTTTAGGGTGTCCTTAACAACAAAAAAACCAGCCCATTCCAACATCCTGACATGTTTCCTCTGTGCTTTCTTCTAGCAGTTCATAATACATTTTTATTTAGTTCTTGTAACTGGTGAGAAAGAGGAATCTGTTTTCATTCTTCATATGATGTCCAATTTTCTCAGCATCATTTATTGAAAAAGCTGTCCTTTCTCTATTAGCACCTTGATCAAATATCAGTTGGCTGTAGATGCATGAAATTCCTCTACTCCTTACCAAGTAAGCAAATACCCTGAGAGAGAGTGTCTTGTGTTATTTGATCTTTGCTAATTCTTTTGTGTGACCACTCTCTTTTTTAAATTAAAAAAATATTTATATGTGTGTGGGGTGTTTTGTCTTCATTTATGATTGTGTACTGTATGCGTGCCTGGTGCTAATGGGGACCAGAAGATGTCAACTTTCCTGTATCTAGAATTATAGCCTTTTGTGAGCCACCATGTAGGTGAGGTCTTCTGGAAGGACAGCAAGTGTCCTCAGCACCGCCACCCCTTTTAAATGTGGAGTGTGTGTTGTGGTGTACTAGTGGAAACAAGATAACAACTTGTAGAAATCTTTTTTTGTGGGTTTCAGGGATTGAACTTAGGTTCTCAAATTTTGATGGCAAATGCCTATACTTACCGACCTAGCTCACCGTCTTTTAACCTTTCTTGTAGTCTACTATATTTTGGCTTTACCTTTTCTTTGGTCTTTCACTAATTTTACAATCACTCTCAGAAATCTGTGGTTATGCCTTTTCCTTTACCTAAAATATTAGGAATTATTTTTACCATATCTTTTAATTTTCATTGTAAATATTACTTTAGTACATAACATCCCACACATCCTTGTCTGAATTTGATACAGTTCCATCTTGTATATGTAACATCCATTCATAGATGTACCACAATTTGCATAGTTTAACTTTGTGATTGTTTATATATGCAGCAAGAGACATGTAGAGATGTGACTTAATTTGATTGCCACTGTAATCCGTAGAACAAAAGAGCCAAACTAAAAATGCATCTTTAAAAATAAAGAAAGACCATATCTCCTTATGTAGTCCTGGCTGGCCTCAAACTTAAAGAGAGATCTACCTACCTCTGCCTTCCAGTACTGAGATTAAAGAGTTAGCCACCATGTTAAGCATAAATGTTTAGTTTTACTGAAAGGGAAGATTTATAGCAATTTATTTTTAAAAGAATATCTTTAAGATCTATTATTTGACAGTTTTATATACTTAATTAACACAATATGTTTCCATCCTATCCACCCCCAACACTTTGGGATTTGAGCCAGACTGTCTTGGTTAATTGCTAACTCTTAATGAATGTATGTATGTATGTATGTATGTATGTATGTATGTATGTATATGTGTGTGTGTATATATATATATATATATAAAACCTTCCTAAATTTCTAATTTCTCTTATCAAGTGGAATGACAATAGTGCATACTTTTTATAATTTGCTCTCTGTGAAGCATCTAGTACAGTTTGGCACTTGGCTGCATAAATGATAAAAAAAATAAGTGATGTGTTATCAGGTGAATTGTGTTTGGGATTTGTGGAGTGTTAAAGCATTTAAAGCACTGTTGTCTACAAAACCCATAGTAGCAAAAAGGCAGAAACTATTTGTATAGAATATCTGTATAGGATCTGATTTCCCCATGCCCCTGAGACAGGGTTTCCTGTGTAGCCTTGCCTGTCCTGGACTTGCTTTATAGAACAGTTCTATCTCTGCCTTCCTGAGCACTGGGATCAAAGGCATGTGCCACCATGCCTTACAGGATCAGATTCTCAAAAAAGATAATATAGATGATACTTTATTAATTAACCAACTTTAGCAAACATTTTATTATTACATTTATTTATTTGTGTGTAAATGTATAAGGTCAGGACAACTTCTTCCACCCTGTGGGTCCTGGAAATTGAAGTCAGATTGTCAGACCTGGTGGGAAATGCTGGGCCATTGCACTGGCTCAGTATTTCTAGAGCCGGGCATGGTGGCATATGTCTTTAATTCTAGCAGAGGCAGGTAGAGATCTGTGAGTTTGAGGCTAACCTAGTCTACAGAGAGCGTTCTGGGACAGTTAGGGCTACACAGAGAAACTATCTCAAAAAACCAAAAGAAGAAGAAGAGAGAGAAGTAGGTGAGGGGAGGAAAGAAAGAAATGGGATGTTATTAGTTTTCTTAAAAAGGAATGTGAGGTCCTGACATTGTGACCGTTAATCTCACCATTAGGGAGACACAGGCAGGCAGATCTCTGAGTTTGAGATCATTCTTCTCTACCTAGCGTGTTCCAGGTCAGCCAAAACTACATGGAGAAACTTGCAAAAACAATAAAAAAAAGTGCTATGACTGTGTGGGTGTCTTTAAGTGAGGTCCTAATTCTAACCTATAGCCTTCAAAGGTTACACTTTTGATCAAGCTAATTTATCTTTCTGGGAAATATGTCTGCCCTAAAATGGTAGATGGGACTGACTGTATAAAAGCTATAAAATCATAGCTTTGATTTTATAAAAATGTAAAAAGATAGATTATTGTGACATAAAGCGATGTAGACGGAGGGTTGTAGCAGAAAGATTAGGCTTGTTTCTTTTCAACTGTTTTAATTTAAAAAGCAGATTATTCTAATTTTGTTCCTTTTTCTGTTTTCCAGGTTATATTTCACACTATGTGCTGACTGTATCTACAGAAGATATTTAAAAAAAAAAGATAAACTTTTTTCCAAGATTTTGATTCCAGTGGAATCTTTGCTTTAGATTTTTTTTTGTGTGTGTGTGTGTTAGTGAATTGTAACTCCAGAAGCAATGCCTGTACAAGCTCCACAATGGACGGATTTCCTTTCCTGCCCAATTTGCACTCAGACTTTCGACGAAACAATTCGAAAACCCATCAGTTTGGGCTGTGGCCATACTGTCTGCAAAATGTGCCTGAATAAACTCCACCGTAAGGCTTGCCCATTTGACCAGACCACTATCAATACAGACATTGAGCTCCTTCCTGTGAACTCAGCATTACTGCAGCTTGTGGGTGCTCAGGTAAGATAGTAACTTAATACTGGTTATTGTCTTTAATTGAAGTTTGTAGTTATATGTGTCTCTGTGTGGGTGTGTATATTTTAATGTTGATACAGGTGGTTGCAAATAGAAATATTTATAAATGTTTATATACTGGATTGTTATATTTGGATATTTCCTCTCCAATTGGCCAGGATAATCTTAAGGACAGACAGCACAATCCCAATAGCAATGTATGTGTGTCCTGTTTAGATTCTCCAATAAAAGGAACCAGAACTCTTGGGAGGAATGTCAGTTCTTAGGGTAAGACACCAAGTACACAAAACAAGCAAGTGTGCTGTGTAAGTACGCAAACAGAGTATTGGGACCAGGTCAAAGGCATACCAGAGCTGGTTGAAAGGGCTGTCAGTGGCCAAAGCTAGAAGGGTTTGAGCAAAATAATATTGAATTGTAACAGTATAAAAAAGAATCAAAGGCTCTGTATAAAATTTAAATGAAGAACAATAACAAAGACCCAGCTATAGTTTTGCTTAAGTGTTCATAATTCTATTTTATTTTTGCACCTGTGATTTTATTTCATTTAAGAAATTTAAAGCCATTGTCCTAGAACCCTGGTGTTTATGCCTGACTTTGACCCCAGTTCTTTTCTCAGGTTGACTCAGTTTGCACATTATATAGAAAGAAAGATAAAGTGCGCTTTGTTTTATCTAAGGAGAGTCATTACTTACTGATTTTTTTTTTTTTTTTTTTCCTTTCTTGGCTTTTAAAAAGTTTATTTTCACTGGATATCGTGGTTGTGTGCCTTTATTCACAACACTAGGGAGACAGGCAGGTGAATCTCTTGAGTTCCAGGCCAACAGGATTACAGTAGTGAGACTTTGTCTCAAAAAGGTGGGCAGGAGAACATTTTATTTTAATTTATTTAACTTGTAAACCCTGTGTCCAGGTACCCTTGGAAGCCAGAAGAGGGTATTGGATTCCCTGAAGTTGGAGGTACAGGCAGTTATGATCCACCTGATATGGGTGCTGGGAATTGAACTTGCATCTTCCAGAAAAGCAACAAGTGCTCTTAACTGCTGAGCCATCTTCCTAACACTTTAAGAAGTTATTAAATATGTTTTATTGGAAAGTGGATTGACCCTGTAACCCCCATTTTGATAAAACCACAGTAACTCTTATCTAAAGTATCGGTAAGAGCTACATAGACCTTCCTTAAATATTTGTGTAGCATATTCATGAATACAGTGAGGTTTGAAAAGGGGGAGGAATCAGGAAATAAAACATGTTAAGAGATGACCAAAAAAAGAAAGAAGGAAGGAAAGCCAGGCATGTTGGGGCATGCCTTTAATCCCAGCACTCAGGGAGGCAGAGGCAGGCGGAACTCTGAGTTTGAGGCCAGCCAGGTCTATAAAGTGAGTCCAAGACAGCCAAGGCTACACAGAGAACCATGTCTCGAAAAACCAAACACACACACACACACACACACACACACACACACAAACCCACAAAAAAACAAAAACACAAGACTTAGACCATGATAAAGACTCCAAAAACAGACCTTCAAGGAAGAGCCATACCAATAAATTCTGATCACGTATTTTAAAAATGGAAAGAAAACTATTTTTCCATTCGAGATGGAAAAATAAGTTAGAAACTCTTCACCTGTAAATGTAAAATTACCCCAAAATAAAATTTTCAGTTGACTACTATTGTGGTGAATGATTCTTGTGGTTTTGTTTTTAAGTATGTTTTCTTTTAAATTATACCTCTTTTAAAAAATTATATTTTTGTTTATTATTTATTTCTTGTTGCGAGACGGGGGGACATGGAGGACAGGCAAAGATTTGGCTTTCTCCTTCCATCGTGTGGGTCCTGTTTTCTGAGTTGGTGGGTGGCAAGCACCTTCAGCCTTTGAGCTATGTCAGATTACATCTTTAAACTTTATCACAGCTCTGAAAATATATATAATCTCTGGCTTTGTCACTTGTTCATTTAAATAATACATGTATTTGCTACAGTTAAAGAGTAGCTTTGATGGATAACCTAAATCAAATATAAATATTTATGTTGAAGAAATTCAGCAAATGCTGTCTCATCAAGGTGAACTGGATTAATATGAACAGAAATAAACCACTGATGGCGGATCTTTGGCTGTAATACTATGATGACAAAGGCATTATTTTCCTGTGTACTTACTGTAAAAATAAATAAATTCAGTCACCTTATGAGAAAAATGAGGTCTTGTCAAAAGTCAGTATACTACATTCATCACCAGCACTCCATAAAACTGAAAATCATCACAGTATAGGAAGTACTAGAAAAGTGTCACAACTTCTAGAATTTTACAAAAAGTAATAAGTTAGGTATCTGGATGAGATACTGGAACACAGGAAGGCTAAGAGGCAAAGGTAAGGCATTCTGAGTAAAATCCGGATTTTAAGCCATAAACGATAGTGTATTAACATTGGCATATTAATGTCTGTAAATGTATCCTACCAACAGAACATTACTGTGAGAATGAGCTGTGTGATGATAAGAATTCTCTGAGCTATCTTTGCCATTTTTCTGGAAATTTAAAATGCTTTTAAAAATTTGTTTTTGTTTTGCTTTGTTTTTTAACCAGGAAAAAATATTTCCTCTAACTGGTAATCAGAAAAATGCTGGCTTAGATAATAGGGTTTTGTTGTTGTTATTTTAAGCTTCTCAGTTTGACACAAACCAGTGTCTGACTGGTAGTGGTCATGGACCTGAAAGTGCAAGGTTCTTGCGCATGCTAGGGCGAGTGCAAACTGGTAGGCTCTAGAAAATAAAAATGGGTTGGGCATGGTAGCACACACCGTTAATTCTAGTACTCGGGAAGCAGAGGCAGGCCCATCTCTGTGAGTTCAAAACCAGCCTGGTCTACAAGGCGAGTCCAGGACAGCCAGCTCTCTACACAGAGAAAACTTGTCTCGGCTATCTCCAAAATCAAAAAGAAAAAAAAAATAAGAAAGAAAATGGAAAATACACAAAACCCTGTAACTATAGCAGATGGTTTTACAAGGGAGAGCTGCAGAGGGATGTCACTGCAGTTTGGAAAAGTGTCAGATTACAAATATCCTAACATAGGAGCTGACTCACTGTGCAGGCTGTTCCACAGAATACTGTGCATTTGCAGAAATTTCCTAAATCCTCACAAATTTATGTAAAAACCAAAACAAATATTTGCTTTTTTTAAATTAACTTTTTATTTTTTATATTAATTACAGTTTATTCACTTTGTATCCCATTTGTAGCCCCCTCTTTCATTCCCTCCCAAGAATATTTGTTTCTTAAAACAGGATTTTATGTATCCCAGACTGGTCTAAACTCATTGGGTAACCAAGTATGACCTTGACCTACTGATTACAGGCATGTGCTGCCACAACTGGGGTTTGTGGTGCTAAGGGTTTAATTCAGGGCTTTTTACATATGAAGAAAACACTCTGCTGAGCCACATCCTAGCCCTCAAATTGATTTTAAGAGCCAAAGACAATTTGGGAGGCAGAGGCAGGCAGATCTCCACAAGTTTGAGACCAGCCTGGTCTACATACTGAGTTCTAGGACATCCAGAAACTCTGGATGTTTGTTTTGAGACTCTGTCTCAAAAACAAAACAAATAGACCTGAAAAAAAAATACAGTGACAAAGTCTAGCATACCAGTAATTTCTGTAAATTAACATACACATGACTAGATATTCAAGGATTGTTAATATGTATATTAATAATGGGAAATGTGAAGAGTCAAGGGGAACTCATAATACCATCTCAAGAAGGCACTTAGCAGGAAAAGCATAGACAAAATGACATCTTTTCCACCAAAGCCACTGAGCTCTAGAATCTGAATCTTTCATGCCAGGATATCTTAAATGTGTTTATACTGATAGATGTTCTCATCAGAACGTCCTCCCAGAGGGTATTGTAGTTGAATGGAAGAACATTTCCTAGGCTTCAACCTTATCTGAAAATTTTTTCAGGTATAGATGTTTTAACTCAAACTACTAAATCTTGAGCTTACATTTATATTTGAATAATACATTTGACCCTGAAAACACAGGTTTTCCTTCGAAAATACTGATTTGTATGACAGATTGAGGTATATATTCCCACACAGCTTCCAGTTGGCTGTTCTATTTCTTTGTTGTTTAAGCTTTTTCCAGTAGCACAAAAAAAAATCCGTACCCCTTAAATTATTAATTTTTTTCCTCCTACCTGGTACCATACACCACACATACACAAGCTTCTTGAAAAACAAAGGCCTGGAGGCAATCCATCGAATTTTACAGATTAGGGACTGGAAAAGATAGTTGAGTAGTTACAAATGCTTGCTGCCAAACTGAGTTCTCAGCTCTCACATCTGGCAGCTCTGCTCACAATAACCAGTAAATACAGGTACAAGGGGTCCAGTGCTGTCATCTGGCATGCTTGCTTACTAGTGATCCCATACACATAAGGAAGTTTAAGACTTTAAACAATTAACCTGTTCATTTCAATGTGTGATGCTTGTTTACAAGTTCTTTATAATAAAGCTTTACATGTTTAAATTATGTACAGCTTAATCCAAAATATTTAGCTTTAGTGTTGTCTACAATGCTGAAAAAAAGCTTTGCTTTTTGCCATCTGCATGTTTCAGTTCAAGCATTTTTCATTCTCTTTCATTGAAGATTCTAAACTCTTTAATCCTCTATGCCATCTTTAAAATCAGGTTGAGTTGTCAAAGGATTAAGTATATACACATCTAGCAAGTCTCAAAACATTTCTTATATACATATACACTTTTATTATTATTTAAACAGAGAGAACTTACTGCTCTTGAGGACTGAGGAAATAGTTTAATTGGTAAAGCACTTTCCTTGCAAGCATAGAATCTTGAATTTAATTCTCAAAATTCAAATAGAAGTGGGAGGCTAGAGCGATGACTTAGTGGTTAAAAGCTCTGACTGATATTCCAAGGGACCCAGGCTTGATTCCCAGCACCCACATGGCAGCTCACAACCATCTGTAACTCATGTATATGGTATGTAGACATATATAAAGGCAAAACAACAATAAACATTAAGTAAATGTTATAAAAAAGATATGAGTATGGTGACACCTATAATGTCAAGGCTGAAGATCCTTGGGATTTATTGGAAACCCAGCCTAGCCTACTTGGTAAGTTCTAAACCAGTGGAAAACCCTATCTCTAGGTGTATGAGAAATAACCACTGAGGTTTTCCTTTTCTACATGTCCACCATCCCCCCAAAAAGAAAGAATGGGTACATACCATAACTTGGTTGACCCTTGAAAATATGATGTTGTTACATGTGGTGGTACACATCTTTAATCTCAGTATTTCAAAGGCAGACAGCCAGCATGGTCTACACAGCAAGTTCTAGGTCAGCCAGGGCCGTGTACTTGAGACTTTGTCTCGGGGGGTGGGGGAAGGTTTGAGGTTTTTTGGGGGGGGGGGGGGTGAGGAAATTTTTTTTCAGCTTTGTTGTTATTGTTAGTCAAGTGTAAATTTACTAATACTACAGATCATTGAATTGTATAAGCAATCTAGTATTAAATGGTATTTGAATTCTCTTTTTAATAAGGCTGTTATGGAAATAAAAGTGGATGGTATAAAAAGTTTTTTAAAGCATTTAGCAAATTTAGTAGTTTTAATGTTGCAAGCACCAGGACTATCAGTGGATAAATTGTACTCAATAAAATGTTTAATAAATTAATGAAACATTCAAAACTTTTCTTTTGGTCTCTAGATCCCTGAGCAACAGCCCATTACTTTGTGTAGTGGGGTCGAAGATACAAAGCATTATGAGGAAGCCAAGAAATGCGTAGAAGAATTAGCATTGTACCTGAAGCCACTTAGCAGTGCTAGAGGTAAATGTAATTATAAAACCCATGCTAAACAAACAACTGTTTCTTTGTTGAGACAGGGTTTCACTATGTAGCCCTGGTTGGCCTGGAACTCTCCATGTAGACCAGGCTGGCCACATTCACAAAGATTCATCTACCTCTCCTTCTCAAGTGCTGGGATTTTCACGCCCTCTTCTTTTCCACTCTCCCCCACTTAGTTTTCAGTGTTAGGCAAGCATTCTGTCACTGAGCTATCTATACTGCAGCCCTAGTCAAGGCTAATGAAATTTATTTATTCATTGTAAACCAAACCTCCTTCATGCTAAATACTATTATAAACCACAACAAATAAAGTAGTATTAAATCCAGAGTTTATGTGGCATTAGAAATATGAATGGCAGGGAATCTTATGTAAGAAGTGGGAAATAGTAAGATCTGGAGAGGACAGGAGCCCCACAAGGAGAGCAACAGAATCAGAAAATTTGAACACAGGGGTCTTCCCAGAGACTCATACTCCAACCAAGTACCATTTTTTGGAGATAACCTAGAACCCCTGCACAAATGTAGTCCATGGCAGCTTAGTGTCCAAATGGGTTACATAATAATGGGAAGAGGGACTGCCTCTTAATCTGATTGGCCTGTTTTTTGATCACCTCCCTCTGAGGGGAGAGCAGCCTTACCAGGCCACAGAAGATGACAATGCAGCCACTCCTGATGTGATCTGATAGACTAAGATCAGAAGGAAGGAGAGGAGGACCTCCCCTATCAGTAGACTTGGGGAGGGGCATGTGTGAAGAAGGGGAGGGAGGATGGGGTGGAGAGGGGAGGAGGGAGGGCCTTATGGGGGGATACAAAGTGAATAAACTGTAATTAATAAAAATAAATTAATTTAAAAAATAGAAATATGAATGACTGGGAGGTGGAGGCAGGTGGATCTCTTTGAGTTTGAGGCCAGCCTGGTCTACAAAGCAAGTCCAGGACAGCCTTGTAGCCTGTGTAGCCTTGGCTGTCCTAGACTCTTTTTGTAGACCAGGCTGGCCTCTACAGAGATCTGCCTCTGCTTCCCTGAGTGCTGGGATTAAAAGCTTGAGCCACCACACCCGGCTCAGACTTTTGTCTTTTGACAGCTTTGTTTTTACCCCACCTTCCCTCCCTCATCTCATCTCCCTGGCCCTTTCCAAGTCCACTGTTAGGGGAGGTTCTCCTCCTCTTCCATCTGACCCTAGCTTATCAGGTATCTTCAGGACTGACTGCCATGTCCTCCTCTGTGACCTAGCAAGGCTGTTCCTCACTGGGGGTGGGGTGGGGGTGTGGAGGGTGTTTATTTTTAAGTGCTAGTCTTAGATAGTTTTATTTATTTGTTTGTTTTGGTGTTTCATGGTAGAGTTTCTCTATGTAGCTCTGACTGCCCTGGAACTCACTCTGTAGACCACGCCTGCCTTGAACTCAAGGAGATCTGCCTGCCTCTGCCTCCCAAGTGCTGAGATTAAAGGGGTGTGCCACCAATAATAAGACTGGGAACTAGCCCACAAATCAGCCACTCCAAAGGAAGTGCTCCTGGATTATAATGTTGTGTTGTAAACCTAGAAATAGCTTCTTTGTTCTCCTCTACAGGAGTAGGTTTGAATAGCACTACTCAGAGTGTTCTGAGTCGTCCAATGCAGAGGAAGCTTGTGACTCTGGTCCACTGCCAGCTAGTGGAAGAAGAAGGCAGGATACGTGCTATGAGGGCTGCTCGATCTTTAGGTGAACGAACAGTTACAGAGCTCATTCTCCAGCACCAGAATCCTCAGCAACTCTCCTCTAATCTCTGGGCAGCAGTCAGAGCTAGGGGATGCCAGTTCCTTGGACCAGGTATGTAATTAAAATTTGTTTGTTGATTTTTGTCTGCTCATTCCCCTGGCTAAGTATTCTTAAAATATAGGGTAAAAAACTTAAGTAATGTACAGATCCTCATCTTTTGTTATATTCTGTTTCAAGCACCATTCAGTTTGACAGTTCTGGCTTGGTGTTAATTTTTCAGAAAATTCACAGATTTTTATCTTGATAACAAAAGTTTATTTTATTGTTATTCATTGAAATGTTTTTCTCTATAGTAATCACTTATCTTCTTATATAAGACGAATTTCCCATAAGCGTGGCTTAAAAACATAGTTGTAAATGCATAGTATTGTTTGGGTTTTTATTGTTTGGGTTGTTGGTGGTTTGGGGTTTTTTGTTTTGTTTTGATTTTTGAGACAGGGTTTTACTATGTAGCCCTGTCTGTTGTCTGTTCTGGAACTCACTCTGTAGACCAGGCTGGAGTTCAGCACCAGTTCAGAGTGCTAGAGTAAAGATGTGCACTACCATCCTTACTGTATTGCTTGTTAATGCCATGGTATTATGTTGCTCTTCAGATAGTAGACTTATGTCATCTTTGCTTGAAGTACATTTTGATTGTACCATTTTTCCTAGCAATGCAGGAGGAAGCTCTGAAGCTAGTCTTGCTGGCCTTGGAAGATGGTTCTGCGTTGTCACGGAAAGTGTTGGTTCTCTTTGTGGTACAAAGACTAGAGCCACGTTTTCCTCAAGCATCGAAAACCAGTATTGGACATGTTGTTCAGCTCCTCTACAGAGCCTCCTGCTTCAAGGTATGAACCTAAACTCCAACTTGAAGCATTGCCCTTTTTCCAAACTTAACATTAAACTTGAACATTAATAAAATTGCCTGTACTTTTCAAAAAATACCAGCATTTTTCCGTTTTAAAGAAGGCATATGGTGGAATATTCTAGTTAAATCCTGTTGTATTGTTGGGTTTGGATTGTTTGGTTTGTCTGTTTGCACTGGTGGAGATTGAACCTTGTACATGTTAGACAAGTACTCTGTTACTGAAATATAGTTTCAACCCTGAGATTTACATGATAAATTAAACATCTGTTATTTCTCATTGCCTTAGTTAGGATTTCTGCTTAGGGTTTCTGTTGCTGTCATAAAACACCACGGCCCAAAGCAACTTGGGTAAGAAAGGGTTTATTTTTAATATAATTCCACAGCAGTGCATCCTTAAAGGAATTCAAGGTAGGAGTTGAAGCAGAGTCCATAGAGGAGTTTATTCAGCCTGCTACCTTATAGTCCCAAGACCACCAGCCTGGGGGTGACACTACTTACAGTGAGCTGGGCCCTCTCACATTAATTCTTAATCAAGGAAGTGCACCACAGGCTTGCCTACACACCAGTCTACTGGGAGCATTCTCCCAATTGAAGTTCCATCTTCCAGAATGACTGTCTTGAATCTAGTTGACAAAAAACTGCCAACACACCCACCAAGACCTTAAGCAAAATTGGTCCAAATAGAGTCACTGAAGCAGGAATAAGGTTTTTAAGAGTTCTTTCCTTATGTAATTGTACCTGTACAGTCCCAGACATACCATTTGGCTTTGGTGTAAATGATACTTGCGAACATACTCTCTTATATTCCAAGTTGAATCTTGACTGCCCCAAACACTGATACTCACCAGGTGTCACTTTTTGTTCATCCTGATTTATTTTCTGTCTTCTTAAAACAAAATATTCTTTCTTCTGATATAGCCTGTAACCTGCTAGTCCTGCTAGCTATAAAGAAATCCATTCCTGAAATCACTATAATTCAACTGATACTGTACTGAAAAGGGATCTCAGCTTTTCATATGGACTTGCAACCAAAATTACTCTCTCCAGTTCAGTGTTTCTAAATATAGATTTTTCACATTTATTGTGATGGTTAAAAAGAATAATATAATTCTTTTTTTTAATATTTTTTATTAGTTACAATTTACTCACTTTGTATCCTAGCTGTGTCCCCCTCTCTCATTCCCTCCCAATCCTACCCTCCCTTCCCCCTTCTTCTATGCCCTTCCCCCAGTCCACTGATAGGGGAGGTCCTCCTCCCCTTCCATTTGACCCTTATCAGGACTGGCTGCATTGTCTTCCTCTGTGGCCTGGTAAGGGTGCTCCCTCTTCAGGGGGAGATGATCAAAGAGCTAGCCACAGAGTTCAAGGCAGAGACAGTCCCTGTTTCCCTTTCTAGAGAAACCAGCTAGACACTGAGCTGCTATGGACACTGTGTAGGGGTTCTAGGTTGTATCCATGAATGGTCCTTGGCTGGTGTATCAGTCTCAGGAAAGACCCCTGTGCCCAGATTTTTTGGTTCTGTTGTTCTCCTTTTGGAGCTCCTATCCCCTCCAGGTCTTTCTAGCTCCCCCTTCTTTCATAAGATTCCCTGCACTCTGCCCAAAGTTTGGCTATGAGTCTCAGTATCTACTTTGATACACTGCAGGGTAGAGTCTTTCAGAGGCCCTCTGTGGTAGGCTCCTGTCCTGTTCCCTGTTTTCTCCCTCTTCCGATGTCCATCCATTTGCCTTTCTGATGCTCAAGTATACAAGGACATTTGTTCACTCATGTTTGTAGCAGCTTTATTTGTAATAGCTAGAAGCTGGAAACAACCCAGTTGTCCCTCAGTTGAGGAATGGATGCAGAAATTGTGATACATTTACACAGTGGAATACTACTCAGTAATTAAAAACAAGGAAATCATAAAATTTGCAGGCAAATGATGGGAACTAGAGAAGATCGTCCTAAGTGAGGTATACTAGAAGCAGAAAGACACACAGGGTATATATTCACTCATAAGTGGATATTAGACATATAATATAGGATAGTCATACTAAAATCTGTACACCTAAGGAAGCTAATCAAGAAGGAGGACCCTGGGTAAGATGATCAATCTTCATTCAGAAAGGCAAACGGGATGGACATTGAAATATAATTCTTCATTGAATACAATTTGAATATATTCCAGAATGTCTGTATGCTTTCCATGTTACATGTTCTCTATTAACAAAAACAGTCAGATACAAATTATAAGACTTTCTGAAGTGGAGTCTTCTCCTAACATGTGTGATGCTCTGGAGGAGTTCCTAGTATCATAGTCAACCAATAAAACATTAACAAGTTGTTAAATGGAATTTTATTTTGCTGTTGGTTTTTGAGACAGACTTACTGTATAGTTTGGTTGAAGTAGATAACTCAGCAATATTTCTGCCTTAGTTATAGTTAAATTCCACTGTGTCTAGGTATAAAATTATGTATTTAAGTATATATATATACTTAAATTTTATTTATTTTATATAATGTGATGATTCAGAGGTAGATGGTTATGCATGTGTCACTGTGCATTTGGAAGTCAGAGGACAGCTTGTGGGTGTTGGTTCTCTCCTTTCCCCATGTAGATCCCAGAAATTGAGCTCAAGTCATCAGGCTTGGCAATAGCATCTTTTTATCCACTGACCCATATTGCTGATCCTGGAAAAAAATTTAAAATTCAAATGTAATTTAAATTATTCATTGGTCATTTTGTTTAGTTATTACTTTTATTTGTATATGTGAGTGAATGCCATATATGTCTCATATTCCCTGAAGCTGCAGTTACAGGCGTTTGTGAGCTACCTAACAAGGATGCTGGGAACCAAACCTGGTTTCTCCAAAAGACTAGCAACTGCTCTTACCCTCTGAGCCAGCTCTCCAGCTCCTAAACTTTTAAAAATATATAATTAAAAATTTATTGCTAGTGCCCTTGCCCACATGTTCATGCACTCGTGCGTGTGTTTATGCACCCGTGCGCGCGTGCACACACATGGATGCGTGTTGTGCATGGGTGTGTGTAGGCACATCCATGTCATGACACAAATATGACGGTCACAAACAATTTTGTGGACTTGGTTCTCTCCTTCCACTTTTATGTGGGTTCTGTGGATTGAATTTAGGTTGTCTGGCTTATGCAGCTCATGCCTTAACCTGCTGAGCTGTGTTGTTGGCCTGTTTGACCTCTCAGTATTCTACGCCTTGTGTATTTGGATGTGAGATCTCTTGAATGTTCTTGATTGTTGTTAGGGTGATGAAGGTGTTGGGGATATATACAGCTCAGTGACAGAGTGCTCATAGTATTTCCAAGGCTCTTGGTTCAATCCATAGCATCCACAACCCCAAAATTAAACATTCAGAGAGCCATTGTACCGTGTAGAAAGCCTATTCTACCTTCTAAAGAGGGTTATGTTGAGGAAGTATTTTCATTCATGTACTTGTTTATTTGGACTTATAATTTGTCTTTGGAAAATGGCAAAGTATAGTTGTTTTTCTGTCACAGTACTTGATTTTGTGTTTGTTCACCTGACTTCATAATGAAAGGTTTAGTTAGACCATACTGTGTTATAAAGATGAAATGACAGTTTCTTTTAACACCCATACTTGATTCTTTCTCTGAGATTGTGTACTTTTTGCTTAATAAAAACACAGTATTACTTTAGAAAAAATAAAAAGGAATACATTTTTAAATCTTTTAAATGTGATCTGTAATTTCTGACTAAAATAGCTTGAAGTGTTTTTAAGTAGAAAGTTTAAATTTTATTTATTTTTATTTTATGTGCTTTAGTGTTTTACCTACATGTATGTCTGTGTGAGGGTGTTAGATCTTGGAGTTAAAGACAGTTGTGAGCTGCCATGTGGATGCTGGGAATTGAACCCGGTTCCTCTAGAAAAACAGTCAGTGCTCCAGCTCCAGGTAGAAAGTTTAAACATGGGAATTTTCTATTATAATGATATGGGTTCTTATGGGAATAAAATGTTAACACAATACAGTTTTGTTTTTGGCAGTATGAGGAATTAACCACTCTGCCATGAGCTACAGCTCCAACCTCCAAATATGTTTTAAAATGTCTTAGGGAACTGGTGATTCTAGGCTGGAATTATTTTAAATTTTTAAAGCTTTGGCCTTATTCAGTCCGGTTTGACTCAGTAAGTTACTGGGATAATAACTGCATGTATATCAGATGTGCTACAAGAATTAAAGTGAGTTAGTATAGTAATAATAATGCTTTAATTAGGTAATATAACATACCAGCTAACACATACCAAGTATTCGATAAAGTTAGCATTTAAAAAAATTTTTTTAAATGTGTGTGTAGCATGCCGATAACACACGGAGGTGACTTCCCCAGTGGTGATCTAATTTCTGTAGGTGTTTCACTGAACCTGGGGCTTACTGATTCAAGTAGCTGGGTACAAGCTGAAGGAATTTCATTTATGTCACCTCAGTGCTCTTCATAGACATGGGACTAAAGGGCATCCAAGGCCCCCACCCTCTGTTGGTACTGGGTCTCTGCGCTCAGGTTGCAGATCCTCACGCTTGTACAGCAAGTACTTCACCTGAGCCACCACTCCAGCTCCCTCCCTGCCTTTAAAAAGTGCTTTTAAAAGAACAAACAAAAAGCAGGGTTGTTTTTATTGTTTGTGTTTGAAACAGTTTTATAGCCCTCCCTGATCTTGAACTTGTTATTTGGCAAGGCTGGAATTTCTGCTGGTCCTGCCTCCACGCCCTCAGTATTAAGATTGCAGGTGAGTACTACCACACCCAGCTGCAAGGCTTATTATTAAAAGATATTGTTGTTATTATTACAGTCCAGCATCTTATGCTCTATACTTTTTGGTGGTGTTCTGTTTCACAAAACTCTATGGAGAAATTAAGATAAGTTCAAATTAGTCATATTTAAAATCGCACTTATTAGAAGCTCTTTAGTTATTAGTGTCAGATAACTTAATGCTAGGCAAGTCCTAGAGTCACTTATTTATGAAGAAGAAACACATACTGTTTTTTAAAATAATTACGCTCATTAAATATTTTCTCTGTTCTAAAAATGCCTATGTTCTCACATGTATCTGATAAATTCTATACTGTCTGAATTTTTTACCCTCGAATATCATTCTTTGTAAGAAGATTTTGAAATCTATGGCTGGGTGTGGTGGTACACATCTTTTATCCCATCTCTTAGGCCTGGGCTGGAGGGCCTGGGGTCAGAGGCAGGCAGATCTCTGAGTTTCAGGCCAGCCATAGCTATATAGTGAGACCCTGTCTTTAAAATAAAAAAGATAAGATATTGACATCTATAATAGGAGATGTTTTCCAGACAGGATGGTGTATTCCATTGCGAGGCTGGTGAGATGGCTCAATGGTGGTCTTAGGACCCACATGGTGGAAGAAAAGAACTGATTCCTGGAAGTGTCTTCTGTGTATGGTTGCTACATCTGGTGCACATCAAATCAAGACACACGAAATAAACTGTATTTTTAAGTTATCTTTTTTTTTTCTCTACATGTGATAAAGTATGAGGCTTGTGTGTCTTTCTAGGTCACCAAACGTGATGAAGACTCTTCTTTGATGCAGCTGAAAGAAGAATTTAGGACTTATGAAGCTCTGCGGCGAGAACATGACTCCCAGATAGTACAAATCGCTATGGAAGCAGGCTTAAGGATTGCACCAGACCAGTGGTCCTCTTTGCTTTATGGAGACCAGTCTCACAAATCTCATATGCAATCCATTATTGACAAGGTAGGGTCTTTATTGTCCTTTACTTTATCAACAATTTTGGAGTCTTGATAATTCATTATTTTGTAATTATTTTATTCAACAAGTGAATATTAACATAAATAGTGCATGTCATGGCTTCTGTAAATGAGATTCAGTATGGCTAGGTATTTTATTGTAGCTAGTCTTATTAGAATGACACTGCCTCTGTAAACATTGGGTTAGTGTTACAGTGTTTCAACCAGTGCTCCCCCATGTTCCTTGTCATTACCTCTCCTCCTTTACCTATGGCCTGAAGAAGCCAGAGGGCTTGTGATTTCCTGGAACTGGAGTTACAAATAGTTGTGAACTACCCCACGTGAATGCTCGGAATTGAGCCATGTCTGGGAGAGCAGCCAGTACTTTTAACTACTGAGCTATCTCTCCAGCCCCTAAACCCTGTTTCCAAATGCCCTTTAATCTTATATAGTGGCCTTTTAATGAATGACATGTTAGATGTATACCTTGAAGCTTCATGATTTCACTCAGAATAATTTTACATATACTAAAGTTATAACCTCTCATGGTGAGTTTGATGAACTTTTCAGTAACCCTGTTTTTATTTTATTCGCCGTGGTTTGGGGGTTTAGGAGGTTTTTTGTTTGTTTTTCAGGACAGTGTTTCTCTGTGTAGCCCTGGATGTCCTGGAACTCACTCTGTAGTCCATGATGGCTTTGAACTCACAAGAGATCCACCTCCCTCTGCTTCCCAAGTACTTAGATTAAAGGTGTGCCACCACTGCCTGACTGTGACTGTTTTGATATAAAGACCACTACAGTAGATGTGACTGTTAGGTCTAGCTCTATGATTTCTATCTAACACAGAAATATGTATTTCTCTTAAAACTGGAGTGGTGTTCTAACCATTGATACATACCAACCTAAAAATATATGAATGTGGGACAGAAAGTCTTAAAACACTGTAATATGTTAAATAATATTTACTTTTTTGCTATTTTCTTAAATGCTTATAATTTCAGAAATGACTGCTTACTCTATATTACATTTAATTTAGAGATAGGGTCAAAATCTAAGAGTATTTTGAAAATATTTAACATTTACTAAATGGGATGATCTTAAGTAATTCACTTCCTTTAAGCAACCTTATATTATTCCTTCTGTACAGAATCAGAGAAATTTGTACACTTTGCAAATCACCTAGGTTGTTGTCTTAGTATTCTATTCCTTTGAAGAGACACCATGACCATGGTAACTCTTATAAAGAAAAGCATTTAATTGGGGGCTTACTTACAGTTTGAGAGGGTTATTTTATTATCCTTATGGAGGCAGACATATAACTTAGAATTTTACATCTGAATCTATGGGTAACAGGAAGATAGAGCCGTTGGGCCTGGCTTGGCATACTGAAGCTACAAAGCCCACCCCCAGTGACACACTTCTTTCAACAAGGCTATACTTCCAAATCCCTTTCATGTAGCACCATTCCCTAATGACTAAGCATTCAGACACGAGCCTGTGGGGGTCGTTTCTATTCAGATTTCCACAATTATGAATGAAAAAGGTCATTTGAACCTTGGTATGCTGGCTTTAATCATTAAATCTCTTACCATACTAGTCTTTCTTTCTTTGTCCCCAAACATGACATTTTGAATAACTGATAGATTGTTGAAACATGAGTTTTATTTTGTCTTTCTGTTTGATCTATAACTGTTTGCAGCTGTTCCTTGACTACCTTTGTATTAGTCAGGGTTCTCTAGAGTAACAGGACATAGTTACGTTTCTCTCTCTATATATATAGAAAGGGGATTTATTACAATGACTTATAGGCTGTAGTCAAGCTTGCCCAACAATGGCAGGCTGTGAACAGAAAGTCTCAAGAATCCAGTAATTGCTCAGTCTACAAGGCTGGCTATCTCAGCTGGTCTTCAGTATATACTGAAATTCTTAAGTCAGTTCTAATGTCAGTGAAGGAAAAAATTTCCTGTCAAGGTAAGAACAAAAACTTCCTTCTTCCACGTTCTTATATAGGCTACCAAGAGCAGGATGATCCAGATTGGAGGTGTGGGCCTTCCCTCCTCAAAGATCCAAATTAGAAGTAGATCTTCCTACTTTAAATTAAGCAAAAATCCCTCACAGGTGTGCCATGCATTTTTTTTGTTTGTTTGTTTGTTTTAATTAATTCCAGATGTACTCAATTAGACAACCAAGAATAGCCATCACAATCTTTAACTAAATTACTGGCAGCTCCTAGGTTAGAACAAAAGCTGATACCTATAGCTGTTCAACTAACTGGTTATAATTTAGTGAGACCCTGGTAACAATATCAGGTTCTTTTGTTTTTTTGAGATAGGGTTTCTTTGTGTAGCCTGGGCTGTCCTGGACTCACTTTGTATACCAGGCTGGCCTCAAATTTACAGTGATCTGCCTGCTTCTGCCTCCTCGAGTACTGGGATTATAGGCATTGACTGGTAACAATATCTTAACATAAGAGCTTTCTATCTCTGAAGAGAAATTTGGTTCATTTTTATATAGATTGTAGGGTTGAGCGATAATTCATACAGTAACTAAGGTATAGATTCTACAGTAGTTTTCTCTCATCACAGTTGAGTTTCATATCCAGAGACCCTTTATAACAAACAGGTAAAGTGTGCAACATGTGTAAGTCTTTTGTAATTATACAGGCAATATGAGATAGAACGTCACAACGAGAATGTTTTTAATGTACACCATCACAAGAGATACTTTATTGAATGACTATTAGGCACTTGATTGTTTGGTGCTTTTGTTTCTTAGGATTCTTTGTGGTAGCATTGCTTTGTGTTGTTCTTCTCAATTCTGAAGATTAAACCCAAGTCCTCAAGCCTGTTAGTTCTACTTCTGAAATACACCCCCTATCTCTCAAGAAGCACTTGTATCTTTTGCAACTTTTGAACTGAAATTTTTAAGTAATTTAAATTTAAATAACCAAATATTGCTAAGCTTGTACTGTAAAGCAGAAATTGAGAATTTATAAGAAATAACAAGGAAATCATTAATCCTAATGAATACATGGAGAAAGAAACATGAGTTAGCAATTCACAAAGAAGATACATTAGCATATCCAATTGCTAAGAAAGAATTTAGCCTCAGCAGTGAATAAAGAGTGTACATCTAAATCTGGGCATAGTGGTCCATGCCTCATTTCTCGCATTCAGGAAGATGCAGAGCTCACATTCAAAACAGTGATTAAGATATGCATACTGATTAAGTTTATTTTTAAAATTATAAGTATACTAAAATATAAAGGCCCTGTCAGGATTTTAATGGTAGTTATATTAATTTCTTTGTTTTTAGAAAATGGATGCTTTTAAGACAGTTATATTTTATAGAATGACCTTTTGAGAGAGGAAAATTGCCCTCTGTAGTAAGCTGCTGAAAAGCTAAATGTTTTCAAGTAAGAACTTATAGTAACTGTTATAAAAATCAGTGTTTTTCCATCTGAAAATTAGATATACATAGCCAACAGAGGGGAGTTTGTGTGAGAGTATGTCTCATTGAGTTTCAGAGAAATATACAACCTCCAAGATATCAAGTCCACTTGGTGACACCTATAAACACATGGGTGTGGGACCATCCACAGGAACAGGAACATGGTCAACCTACCAGGGCAAATCTCTGAAGAAAAATAACCCTTTCTTCCCTGGTAGCCATCAGCTGCCAGTAACTTCTCAGCTAGCAGTAAGCCTCATAAGTCTCTCTGATATAATAGATGATGACTGCCTTCGTCTTTGTGTGGGTAACTGTAGTTGCTGTGAGTCGTGTACAGTTATGCCATGTCTAGAAGACACATTTTAGAGTGCTTCTTCCATCCTCCAGCTGTTATAGTCTTTACTCCCTTCTTTGATATTCCCCGAGTTTTGGTGGTGGTAGTGGTGATGTGATAGAGGTGTCCTGTTTAGGTCTGAATATTCAAGAGTCATTTATTATAGAACTTTGACCAGTTAGGAGTCTCTGAAGTAACTGCTGCCTATGCAGAAAGAAGTATTTCCAAGCAGGGTTGAGAAAAGCATTGATATGTAGGTAGAAATAAAAATATTGAAGCAGTTTGATGATGTGTCCATCTAATAAAACAAGAGTAGGTTCACCCATAGTGTGTGATCTCTTTGGCCAAGGGATTTTGACAAGCTATAATGCCAGATGTGGAGCAGGCTTATATTCCAGTTTTTAAACCTCTTGGTTACCCTAGTAACCTTCATCCCACATTGCATTAATGCCACTTCTTGCCTGGGCAAGTTAGCATGCAGCTTCCACTGCTGGGTGAGACCATTATTAACTTGTCTCTACCAGAAGCCTATATAGAGCTGTATAGTACCATGAAAGCTAGCCAAGAAGGAGGAAGGTTTCACATCAGTTCCAGTTTGACCTCTCTGTGTCCTTCATTCAAATTGTAACAGGATATTATTTAGACTATTTAATATATGAAATTCAGTTTATATAATTTATATGTTTAGTGTCATGATATTTAGTCTTAAGAACTTGATCTCATTTAATATTCAGTGCCATTTTTCTTACTATTATCTGACATCTCTAGATTATACTTTGTAATTTCAGGTATTTGGAAGGACTGCTGTTGTTGATTATTAATATTTATTATTGATTTATCTTTTAGTTGAACAGCGGTTATTCCTAAACCAGCTATATACCCAAATCACCACACAGAGACTAGGATATATTTAGTTAACCTAGAGCACAATACTGGGCAATGATTACTCCATCCTAAACCTCTAAGCCTACATAGCTTCCTCCCATTCCGATCTCCCACATTATATTTGCTTTTAGTCATATCTTAGCTATGGTTCATCTCTCCTGGTGATTCCGGGTCCTCTCCTCTCCTATCTCACTCCCAGTCTTTCCTCTCACTTGCTTCTTTTTTTTTTTTCTCTCCTCTGGTCCAGGAGAGAATGTCCCACCCTATTCTCTCCATTGCTCAGCACTGCCTGGTTGTTTATTGGCTATACAAAGAACAAATGGTAGCATATTTACACAAAATATGATGTCCAATTGAAACCAGATAGTGGGTAGAGGAATCAACATGTGAATGAACCAAGGGTAAATTATATACATTCCACAATAATATTTATACCAACAGCCTACAGAGAACCCTACTAGTATGGTGATATGGGGAGAAAGGCCTCACCTTTGAAGTGTGTGATAGCAGAGGAATGGAGTCGTATACACAGTGAACCAAGCTGTGGCTAGACAGAAAGATCTTGTTGAGGTAGCAGGTAATTCATTCTGGCCAAAACATAGGTTAGGTGGATAGATACAAAATAAATTTAATAAACTGCAAAAATGAAGGTGTAAATAAACTGTGTTTAAAAAGGGTTATCTGATCTTTGAGGAAATTAATGTTTATCTTTTTCTTTTAAGTTGCAGACCCCTGCCTCTTTTGCACAGAGTGTTCAAGAGCTAACAATTGCTCTCCAGCGGACTGGAGACCCAGCAAACTTGAACCGACTAAGACCCCATTTGGAGCTACTAGCAAATATTGACCCTAGTCCAGGTAAAGCCAAGAGAAGTTAGTGGGCTGTTTATGTGTACCTCAGTACTGCTTTGTGATTCTTCAGTTATCTTTTTTGTTACATTCTTCTAAAGTTTCCCAAAGTAGCTTTCCCAGACATTTAGGTTTTGCTCCAAATTATATCCTCTTAATCTCATTAGTTTATCTCTATTGATTGTTGTTTTAAAAATTTGTTGCCATTTTTCTCTTAACCCTGCTGGCACCCAAATAATTGAGACTACTATATTTATTTAAGAAGCTTTATGGCACAAAAACTGAGCAACATTACTTTATTTTAAACCCTCTAAGCTAATCTAGTTTCCTCCCAGCTGAAATCCCTGAGATACTTGCTTTTTATTACTTTCTCTACTCCCAGCTGCTCTCTCATGATGTCTCCTGTCTGCTTATGGCTGAATTTCCACTCTCCCCTTCCCACTCCCCGGCGGGCAGGAAGCCCAGCCCTGTACTCTTCTCTGCTCAGTCATTGTCTGTCAAGCCTCTTTATTGACATGTCAGGGAACAATTGGGGAGTGAAGTTTACACAACATTGAAACAGGAGATTCTCAGAACAAGGATCCCAACTAGATACGGGGACACAGAAAACAGCATTTGAATCTTTTTGTTGTTGTTGATTGATTGATTAAGTCACCTCACATCCTGATTGCAGCCCACCTCTTCTCCCAGTCTCCTCTCTCACAAGCTCCTCCCCCCTATTTTCCCCTGTCCTTTTCTTCAGAGAATGGGGAGGTCCCCCATTGGTATCAACCCCTCCCTGGTACATTAAGTCACTGAACTAAGCACATCCTTTCCCACTGAGGCCAGACAAGGAGTGCACAATAGCATTATGCCTACACACTAAAACTAAAATTCATTTAATACTTTATATTATACTGCTTCGTTCACACACAGCTCTTGACATAATTCTCCTGTTAGAGCATGCTGTATTTTACCCTTTTCATATCTTTGTCACAATTCAAGTTTTCTCAGCTTTTCTTTAGTTGTGTTTCCATTATTCCATCTTCTCCTAATACCTTGTTCCATTAATGATTCTCTTTCTTACCTTTACTTGGCCATTTCTTTCTCGCCCTCCTTGACCTGGAAATATACCCAGTGACCTGTTATGTGAACAGTACTTTATCTGCTATTCTCTTAGAGTATACTGCTAATGCAGGGCTGAATCTACATACTATTCACTATAGTTTCCTACTCACTACTTCCAGAAATGACTTCTAAGTCCTTAAACTACTTCCTGGCTTTTCAGCAATTACTGATAACTCTTCTTTGATACAGAATTGCCTCTGTTTTGTTTTTATGTGTATCCCTCCACCCTACCTCATCAACAACAGTGCTATCTGTGCCCTTGAAACTGTTTCCTTTGATTCTTAGCATCATGTGTTACCTCTGTATAGAGTAGATTTCCAAAGAGTTCTGTCAACGCTAGTGTCATCATTCCAGACCCATTTCCCAAATAAATGCTTTGTGATACTCAATATCATCTGTTCCGTGTTTCAGAGTGAGTTCATCTTTGATGCCTAATCTTTGAGCTGTGTTTCTTTTATCTGAGTGTTTCCACTTATTCTACATATCTTTTGAGATACAAGTTTTATCTGTTCTTCTTTGGTAAGTCCCTTTGACCCCACATTTAGTGATTATTCATTAATCATAGCGTTAGTCCTTTCCTTGAGACTTAATGCTTTGAACTTCCTCTACGACTCATTCTGTGAGATCAGGCTACTTATTGCTGCAGAGTAAATCACATTTGTACAGATACATTTTCAGTAACATGCCATTGCTTATAGAATGGGCCTGTGGCTTTCAAACCCTCGTAAATTTTCATCACTCCATGTTTATAGGTCAATTCCCAAAATGGCTGAATAAAATCAAATCTTTACATTTGTGTGTGTGTGTGTGTGTGTGTGTGTGTGTGTGTGTGTGTAACAATTATTTTCCACATTGTTGTTAGTTAGCATTCAGATCAATTAAATAAGAAATGCCACCAGATAGTGGCGGTGCATACCTTTAATCCCAATACTCAAGGAGTCAGAGACAGGTGGATCTCGGTAAGTTCAAGGCTAACCTGTGAAGCACAGCCAAGGCTGTAAAGAGAAGCCATGCCTCAAATGAATGAATAAATGAATGAATGGAAATTAAACTGCAAAGCAAGTCCAGGGCAGCCAAGGCTACAAAGAGAGACCCTGCCTCAGATAGATATTAAAAATAAAGAAATGCTACAGTACTTCTCTCTATATTACCATATCTCCTGTAGCTGTGCCATTATGTTCTGTTCTTCCATAACAGCAGATAAAACTGTTTGGCAAGTGCTCTTCACTGGGCCATATATCCAATGGTAACAGCATATTTTTGCTGTTATTTTGTTTTTGAGACAGGGTTTCTCTTTGTAGCCATGGCTGTTGTGGAGCTCTGTATACCAGGCTGGCCTCAGACTCACAGAGATCTACGTCCCACGTGCTGGGATCAAAGAGATGTGCCACTACCGCCTGGCTCTAATAGCACTATCTTAAATTCACTCTGATGAGTCATTTATCTCCACCAAACTTATTTTGTCAAGATCACCATTTCCACTGTCACCTGAATCCACAGCTCACTGTGTGTATGCATGCACGGTTGTCAAAATCTCTTTCCCCCATTGTGTGTGTGTGTGTGTGTGTGTGTGTGTGTGTGTGTGTGTGTGTGT